CCTGTACCTCTGAAACAAATAATACATTATATGTTAAAAAAAAAAAGAAGAAGAAGAAGATAGCAGGAAGGGAAGAATGAAGGGGGGGAAATCGGAGGGAGAGACGAACCATGAGAGACTATGGACTCTGAGAAACAAACTGAGGGTTCCAGAGGGGAGGGGGGTGGGGGGGATGGGTGAGCCCCGTGATGGGTATTAAAGAAGGCACGTACTGAATGAAGCACTGGGTGTTATACGCAAACAATGAATCATGGAACACTACATCAAACACTAATGATGGGCGCCTGGGTGGCTCAGTTGGTTAAGCGACTTGTCTTCGGCTCAGGTCATGATCCTGGAGTCCCGGGATCGAGTCCCTCATCGGGCTCTCTGCTCAGCAGGGAGTCTGCTTCTCCCTCTGACCCTCGCCCCTCTCATGTGCCCGCTCTCTCTCTCTTTCTCTCTCTCAAATAAATAAATAAATAAAATCTTTAAAAAAAAAAAACTAATGATGTAATGTATGGTGATTAACATAACATAATAAAAAATTTTTTTTAAATAAAAAATAATAAAACTTCTTGTTACATAAATTCATATGTGCCTGAGTGATATTTAAATAACTTTCACTCTCTATACAAACCAAATGGAAAAAAAACAAAATTGAGAATTTTAAGGAATTGTCCTTAAGAATGGGGTGGGAGTTGGGGCATCTGGGTGGCTCAGTCAGTAAAAGGTCAGACTCTTGATTTCAGCTCAGGTCATGATCTCAGGGTTGTGAGATAGAAGGGCTAGTGAGAAACAAAAGAAGAAGCCAGAGATCCCACAGGAAAAGTGAGACACTCTAAATAACAGCTATCTGTGGGGTGGGAGTGGGGAAAGTTGTTCTCTCCTTGAAAAATGAAAGGGTTGGAAATGAGAACAGAAAGGAATCAGAAGTATAAAAGATCTTAGGGGCGCTTGGGTGGTTCCATCCGTTAAGCATCTGACTTCCCCTCAGGTCCTGATCTCAGAGTCCTAGAATCAAGCCCCAGTCAGGCTCCCCTCAGCAGGGAGCCTGCTTCTTCTCCCTCTCCCTCTGCCCCTCCCCTGGCTCTTGCTCGCTTGCTCTTTCTCTCTCTCTCTCTCAAATAAATAAGTTTTTAAAAATCTTTAAAAGAAAAAGAAGTATAAAAGAGCTTAGTGAAAAAACTTTTTGCCTTCAGGTCATATGATCATTTAATCAAGAGAAAAAATACCATTTTGTTTGATTATTTATGGGCTCGTAAGTAAAAAATCTGTTCTTGGTAAAACTAAAAATACATTTTCTATCTCTTCATAATAAAGATAAGAGTTACCCTCCATGCATGTTAATGGCTGAAACAATGACAGAAATCTAAAACAATGACTAACCTAACAAATATTTACATTTGACTTAGAAATGCACTATCAAATTTTTTACAACGAATGTACCACTTATTTAATACTAGTGCTAATTTTAAAAAAAATAACTTTAATCATTTATCTGCATTTCTTATCAGTCCTTCAGGAGAGACTCCTAGAAAAGGAATTGCCAGGTGCCTGGGTGGCTCAGTCGTTAAGCGTCTGCCTTCGGCTCAGGTTGTGATCCCGGAGTCCTGGGATCGAGCCCCGCATTGGGCTCCCTGCTTGGTGGGGAGCCTGCTTCTCCCTCTCCCACTCCCCCTGCTTGTGTTCCCTCTCTCACTGGGTCTCTCTCTGTCAAATAAATAAAAAATCTTAAAAAAAAAAAAAAAAAAGCCAGAAATGTATTAGGGGCGCCTGGGTGGCTCAGTTGGTTAAGCGACTGCCTTCGGCTCAGGTCATGATCCTGGAGTCCCGGGATCGAGTCCTGTATCAGGCTCCCTGCTCAGCGGGGAGTCTGCTTCTCCCTCTGACCCTCTTCCCTCTTGTGCTCTCTGTCTCTCATTCTCTCTCTCTCAAATAAATAAATAAAATCTTAAAAAAAAAAACACACACACACACAAAAAAAAAGAAAAGAAAAGGAATTGCCAGACCAAAGAGTCTGAATATTTTTAAAGCTTGGTACATTATTGGCTTAGGCTAAAGTTAAAACTAGATTGACTACCTCAACGGAAGGTGACCAAGTAATTAATATACATGGGTATTCGGTGTTTCTATAAATAATAATCAAAAAAGAAATACTCAAAAAAGAAAATCTAAAAGTGTATTACAAGTAGATCTGAGGCTTTGAATGATTATGACTAAAAAGAAGTCAGGGTAAACTTTTGTTTAGGATGATAGTCAGGCCAATTAGTGTGTCTGTGCATGTGTGTGAACATATATGTGCATAAATACTGGATGCACATGCACAAAATAATGGACAAAGAAAAATAAAAGTGGAAGAGTCCATAATTTCTGAATGAGATAAGAAGAATGAAATCATTAAATGAACTACTTATAAATAGGTACATATAATTTATTTTATACCTCCCACAATTTCTTTTTTTTCTTTATTTTTAAGATTTTATTTATTTATTTGTCAGAGAGAGCACAAGCAGGGGGGAGCGGCAGGCAAAGGGAGAAGTAGGCTCCCTGCTAAGCAAAGGGCCCAATGTGGGACTTGATCCCAGGACCCTGGGATCATGACCTGAGCTGAAGGCAGACACTTAACCGACTGAACCACCCAGGCATCCCTTCCCACAATTTCTTACCCAACTTTATATAGTAATAAGTTTTCAATTTTAATAATCAGGTGCAAGGTTAGAGGAAAAACTCATATGTTAAATAAAGATCAACAAATTGCTTTTTCCTGTAGGTGAGGTTAGCTATTTCTATAAATTAGGACTCTGCACAGTACTTTTTTCATATACCCCCAGAAAGGAGTAACTAAAGCAGTTTAAGAAGTTTGACTCAGATTTTTCAAAAGTCAAAGGACTTTGTCACCAATGAAGTTTCATGAAAGGCAAATCTGAAGCTATTGAAAGTCAAATCTCCACCTCACACCAGTCAGAATGGCTAATATCAAAAAGACAAGAAATAACAAGTGTTGGCAAAGACACGGAGGAAAGGAAATCCTCGTGCACTGTTGGCAGGAATGGAAAATTGTGTGGCCCCTATGGAAAACAGTATGGAAGTTCCTCAAATAACTAAAAATATAAGTATCATATGAGCCATAAGTCCAGTCCTGGGCATTTGCCTGAGGAAAATGAAACACCAATTCAAAAAAAACATATGTACACCTATGTTTGTTGCAGCATTATTTCCAATATGTAAGATATGGAAGCAACTTAAGTGTCCATCTATAGATATATTGATCTAGAAGATGTGGTATGGAATAGAATATGGAATATTACTCAGCCATAAAAAAGAAATCTGGCCATTTGTGACAATATAGACAGTATTATGCCAAGTGACATAAGTCAGACAGAAAGACAAATAACATATAATTTCATTTACAGTGGAATCTAAAAAAAAAAACAAGCAAGCAAGCAAACAACAAAAAGAGAATCAGAGTCATAAATACAGAAAACAAACAAGTAGTTGCCAGAGGGGAGGGGGGTGGGGGATAAGTGAAATAGATGAAGAGGATTAAGAGGTACCCACTTCTAACTATAAAAAAGAAGTCATGGAAAAGTACAACATATAGAATATAGTCAATAATATTGTAATAACTTTGTTAAAAAAAAGTCAAATCTCCTTAAAAACATGCTTTTTTGAGACTGCTGCACGGAAGTGTGTACAACAATCCAATTTATCACCAATTACCCATATATTCTCAGATATCCAAACATTTCCAAAGAATGTGGCCCAAGGGACTCAAATATACTGATTTTAATTTGAGAAGTCAACCTGTGCGTCTTACATCCCTTGAAACACTGTTCTCTCCTTGCCATAGCAAAGAAGTAAATTCCTCTGCCATAATTATAAGCAGAAAGTTTACATCTTACAGAACATGGAGCAGGAAGTTTGGCCTTTGAAACATTTCCCTTTGGACCACGGGGGCTGCAACAGGGAGGTGGAAGGAGCAGGTTTGAAAATTTGAGTTAGACTGCAAAGGCTAAAGCTCCTCAGTCTTTAAATGATGCTCTCCCATGCATCTGGGTGGAGAGGAGCCAATGCTCAAAGTCTTTGTCTTTGAAACAGTGAATAGAAAAAATTCAACTTTTGAGTGATGTCTCAGAAGTTTCTTTCACTCAATTTTGCCCCTACTGGCTCTAAAATGAATGAAACGTTTCCAGAGCAGGCTTCCAATGCGTCAAGCTGAAACTTTGAAACGAAGTTCCTGCCAGTTCTTTCTATGAAATCTTGAAGTTGTTTGACACTAGTTTTATTATACCGCTCTCCTGGGCTCAGTGTGAACAGGGAACCCAGGAGCTGAGTGGAGAGCAAATTTAAACCCGGGATGGGGGATGGGAGTAGGAGACTGTAGGGCTAGAACAGGGTGAGCACCACATGTGGCTTTAATATCCAACAGCTGTTAGAGATCATAACCCCGCTGCTCTTTCTGTACCCCCCACCAGAATCGTATGTTTCTAAGATTATTATAACTAAAGGGACTTTGCTGCCATCTAATCTGAATAATGAACTCAAGCTCCAAAAAAATCAAGTTAAAAAAAAAAAAACTAAATGTACCTGAATGTAGCAGGCTGACTTTAATCACCAAGCCAAAGTCTTAAAACAAAATCCCAGGGGAGTAAGAGAAGAGGGGGGGGGGGATAACACAATGCACCCGAGCAGGCCAGGGGCAGGGGTAAAGAGTGAGGAAAGATGGGGTAGCAGGGATTCCCTGAACAAAAGCCTTCTCCCATTGGAGCTAACTTTTCAAACCCGCAGATCTCCAAAGCCCTGGCAAACTCATTGCGTGTCCAGGCGTGAAACAATCCCGCCGGAGGTCCACGCACCGGCGAGCACAGCGTCCGCGCGCGGGTTCGTGGTTCCGCGATGCCGGGACCGGTGCCCCGTCCCCCCGCAGACAATGCGGCGCGCGCTTCCCGCGGCCTCGCCGGGATCCGCGCCGCACGCCGCCCGCCGCCTCCTGCGTCGCTGCGCGGGGACACACTCACCGACACCAGGAACTCCAGCGTGCCCACATAGTCCCGCTCGGTCTTCTGGAGCTCGCTGAGCACGCACACGCGCAGGCGAAGCTGTTTCTCCAAGTCCTTGGCGCTCTCGGCGCGGCCGTCCCCGCGGTTCTCGTCGCTCATGATGGGCGGCGGGACGCGGGGCTGCTGTGCTGCGCGCTGCCCCGCGCGCCCACTGGTGCCCGGCCCCGCGCCGGCTAGAAAGGAAAGTTGATGCCTCCGGGAAGTCTGAGGAGGTACGGGCGACTTTACATGCTGGGGAGAGGCTGGGGTGGTGGGAGAGGAGAGCGCGCCCGCTGGGACTCCGGCGCGGGAGGCGCGAGGCTCTGAGGAGGCAACTCCCGAGAGTGGGGGCCCCGGCCCGGGACCTGCACGCCCAGCCCCGCGGCTCCGGCCTCACGCGGCCCGGGCTGGAGGGGAGGCGGCTCCGGCAGCCACAGCGGTGACTTGGACATTAATCAAATGCTTTGTATCCATGTGACTCCGACCCTTTACCCTTCGCCAAATCTCAGGAAAAAGGAAACAACCCTGGGGAAGTGTGTTGCGTGCCAGCTAACTAAACACACACACACACACACACACACACACACACACACACACACGAGTCAGCACTTGAGATGGAACTAATTGGAGATTCCCAAACCTAGGAGGACGTACTCCAAGACACAGCTCGAGGGTTGCTCCTATGACTCCCGCCTATTGTTTAGCTTTAATGTGTTTTGTACAAATCCTGAAAGCAAAGAAACAAGTCCCCACGGTTACATAACTGGATGGGAACAAAACAACCATGGTATTGACCCTCCCTCCCGCCTTTTAAAAGAAACACATTGATTTTTGGTTTTGTTTAGGCACAAAATAGGTTTGCTTTTAAAAGCCCCCAACCGAGAATAATTCACAGGGCAGATACCCTCCTGCCTGCACTTGGGAAGTCAATTAGCATAATAAATGAAGACACTATGGGAAAGTGACAGCCCTGGCCCGAACAATAAACTCCAGATACAATAAGCATCACCATTGCACTGTGCTGTTTTGGAGGGATGCTTTGCATGTCTGTAACTTTTTTTCAATATCAAGGTAGTATGTAAATTCAATCACAGGCAAGAATACTTGTGCCAATTTTGTTTCTAAGAGCTGCTATGATTTAACACAGTGTCACTAAATGAGCAGCTTTGTCTAAAGCTGTTACTGAATGGTTATCAAAAGATATGTAGATACAAATATAGGTATATAGAGATACAGATATATTCTTAGGATTTGAAAAAAGAGAGAAGCACAGAGCATGTCCTGATTGTAATGTTTATGTTTATTGCCTTTTCTCGCTTGGAAACAGAGCCAGGAGCAAATGAGCACTGAATATTTACATTTCCAAGCAAAATATTCCATATATATTTTTGTCTTGATATTATACACATTAATTTTTCAGTATCATTTTTTCCTACTTAGAACTTGAAACGGTCCACACTAATGACATTTAAATAAACTGAAGAGTGAATGGTTTTGATGAAAGAAAGTAGCATGTTAATTTTTTCCAATAGTTGAAAGCATTAGCAAAACTCTAAAAACTAAAGATGCTTTCCACATTACTTACATTAAAATAATTATCAGAGAAATCTTTTAAGAGCATAGTTTGTGATGAATCACTGTGCCCCTCAAAAAGCAATTTTCTTCTTTTATTAAGGGCACAGTTTTGAATGTGTGAGGAGCTGATGGACAAGATATGATTTTCCTTTGTTTTGTGCATGCCTTTCTACAGGTAGCTATGAGCAAAGGACAAATAAGTCAATGGCTTCACACCTTCTGGCAGAAGAACAAAGGACAAGGAACATTAAAGAGCAGACCTCACAACCCCTAGTAAACAATAAACAAAAGAAACAAGCGGAAGACAAAGGAAACACACATCCAGCAATGAATGAGATAATCAAACATGATTGAGCCTTTTCACAATGTACTACAGGCAGCAAGGAATGAATGCATTTCCTCCTCCTTACATCTACACCCTTCTCAAATGTAAAAAGTAAGTAAATAAATCATGCTATCAGGTGTTCTTGTAGATAAAAAAACAAAAATCTCTTACCAATTGCTCCCAGTTTGAGAGCTGTTTATGAAATTATCCTTCTATCAAAAAAAAATTAGTCTATATACAACCCACTAGAGCTTCAGTCTCACCTCTGAGAGCAATATATTGAGCTTGAATCTCCAGTGGGGTTTACCTACCCAACATTTGCCTCAATTCTACAAACATGTATTGAGTACCTCTATGTGTATTGCATGGCCCTACAGCCTGAGGACCACAGAGACTTGATGTCTAGGCAGATATTTCTGAAGGTATTTCACAGACCATTACACTGAGGTCTTGTTAAACATTTCTGGGCCTTATCCTAAATTTATTGAATGAGAATCTCAGAGAGGCAAGCCCTAAACTCTTTAGACAGGGTTTTCAGATTATTCTTAGGCCCACTAATATTTGAGAGCCACCATTCTAAGAAATTATAATTGAGTGGAAGAGAGTGTCATAAGTAATTCTATTAAAAGGAAACTGCAAGGCATGCTTTAAAAAAAAAAAGGTGCAAGGATGTTAACAGAAAATATGTAAGTGTGCACATTCAGATGTCTCTCAGAAGTGCCCATGTAGAAATTATTATGTTAGTAACAGTTTCTGCCCATTCTTGTGTTCCTCAGTGTATTATTCCTCAGCACCATTTATAATTAATGAACAGCTTCAGAACACCATGTAGTGCCTTCTGCCAGGCACCTATCAGTGTCTTCTGTAACCCTGGCAGGAGTTCTTAATTCCTTATCAAAGACATAAGAGCATAAGAAAACAGGGCCAGAGTATCTGGAAACCTTCACTTTGATGGTACATAAGGTCTTTCATAAACTCTCAATGTGTTGTATCTTTCCCCACTTACTCTATTGAAACTTTAAGCTCTGTCTGCCAGGAAAAGGAAAGCAACAACAAAAATGATGGACAGGGGCGCCTGGGTGGCTCAGTTGGTTAAGCGACTGCCCTCAGCTCAGGTCATGATCCTGGAGTCCCGGAATCGAGTCCCGCATCAGGCTCCCTGCTCAGCAGGGAGTCTGCTTCTTCCTCTGACCCTCTTCCCTCTCGTGCTCTCTATCTCTCATTCTCTCTCTCTCTCAAATAAATAAATAAAATCTTTGAAAAAAAAAATGATGGACAGGATCCAGTTTTTTCCTGAAATACTAATGAGGTTGAAGCATCCAATAAAAAAGAGATGGGAGAAAAGAAGATAGAAAAGGCTGAGTAGTAAACTAGCTCAGCCATTAAATTTATTTCATATGCATGAACTTGGTGTGGTTAGAATCATTATTATACAGTTCAAACAGCCAAAGTACAGTGCACAGTAGGTTTTCTTTGGTCAGGCTTAGAGAAGAACAACTCCTGGACAAAAGAACCCAAGGTAGTCTCTTTACAAAAAGAGAGCTCCCAGCTTGTATTTCTGACAGAGATCAGTTTAGCTTCCCTGCCATTCCCGTACTAGTGTCTGCCCAGGTAAAGTAATAAATCAAATTTGATGTGGAAATCATTAAAAGACAATAGCACTAGGGGAAAAAAAAGAAAGAAAGAAAGATCACTTCATTGCATGGCCATCTTGTTAAACAGAGAATTCTAAGAGTCAGACTTTTTTATTTTCAAGTAAAATTGATTCTGGCATATTTCCTTTACTACTCTGGCCTATGATAGATGATTCTAGACTATACTAGTATAAAAATATAGATACATTGGATCTATATAAAGTACAATTAAGAATCTTGCACAAGAAATAATTCTAAAAATACTCATTACTTTAGTTCTGTTTTAGTTATAACAAGCATGGGCTGTACTAGAGTATGTAATTATTTGTATCATACCAACTTAAGGATTTTAGAATGGGTATTACCTAAAAGGACAAAATATAGTTTCATAGCCATATTTTAATTTTAGATACAATATTCATGGCACAGCAAACTAAATAAATGTTTGAATAGGATTACTTTAGGAAGACTCTAAAGTTCTTAAAAATGTGGTCCTTTCCACACTAGCTTGATCAACCCCAAATCATCCTCATGGCCATAATCTAATATGTAATGGATAATCACTTTCCTCATTATGGAAATTTAACCTACAACCATGCCTGTAAAATAACAGCCAGTTTTTGTCTATGATTAGTCTCAGAAGAATATCATCCTTGCATTGTACCATCTCCCTGCTTAGCCTTTCCTTCCTTTAAAAATCCTTTCCAACCTCACATAACTCAAGCTACACCTTATTTCTCTCCTCCCCATAAAAACTTCTACCTGGTTGTCTTGTCTCCTCTATTAACACCCTCTACTATGTCCTCCAAGGTTATCATTCTAATATATATAAATGTACGTGTGATATGTAATATATATAATAATATTTGATTATTATCAATATCTATATATATAATTTCTAAAAATTATATATATTTCATGTCATTGCCTGTGTGTCTTATCCTGGCTTCCCCAAAAAGTAGAGAGTGAGACAATAGCTAATGTGAAGATAGTATATATGGTAATGTTATCCTAGGAGTTAGGAGTGAGGAAAGGAAGAGTGAAACAGAGAAAGAGGGAAAACCAATACAAGAATACATAATAGAGTTGACCATTCCAGTGGGAAACTAGATGCTCTGTTCTACAGGATCTTCTGAGTAGTCTTATGAAATACATCTCAGAGCTATCCTGGGGGAAGAGACAGGGAAGCATTTATTCATTATTTCCTATTCCCACTTGGTCAAGGATTGCTCCATAAGGCAGTCATAGGACCCTGTACTTGCATGTTGCTTAGAGATGTTCACGGATAAGATTGGAGTCAGGAAGCAAGAAGGGTGAGACACTCTTAGATTGTTGCTGTATGAAGTTGGTGAGAACATTTGAGGAACCGCATCCATGGTCATCAAGAATAAGAGAAGAGGTCAAGAGAGTTTTTCCTGGACTACAAGAGGGATTTGATTCTGCTTCAAACCCCTCAGGATAAAGGCAAATGTCATTTATGACCCAGCCTCTCTGGCTTTATTTCATACCACTCCCTCCTTTGCAAATGAACCCCAGCCACGCAGGAGTACTTTCAGATTTCTTACAATGCCAAGCTCCATAGCACAGTCCTTTTTCCTTATCATAGCATCAATTACATTTATTATAATTACCGGATCAATTGTTGGAATTCTTTACTGGACCACAGTATCTTGAAGGAAGAGACCATGTCGCCCACAGCTTCTCCAGAATCTGGCATGCAGTCTTGTTAAATGAATATTTGTTGATTGAATGAATGAATGAATGAATGAATTGCACTGGAACTCTTTAATCCATTCTATCTCTAAACAAAAATAAGTCTTTGTTTAGACTTGGCTTTTTGTTTCTCCTCCAA